GTTTGATTACCAAAAAGCCGGACATATTCGGGAAAAACTGGACGTATGGTAACCCGACCCTGGCTATCAGTTAAAAAATTATGAGTAAGGATTTTAGAAGAAAGTTTTGGCTTTAGTGTCCTTTGGCTGGTGAAAACAATATCTGCTCTGTTAAAAAATACTTGTATTAGTAACAAATGAAAGGATTACTAACGTCACCCATCACAGAAAGCTACAAGACTAGAACTGCTAATATTTTGCTCTGAGGTAATGTCATTATCCAAACCAAACCCACAAATTCAAACACTCCCAAACTTTGGGAAAAGTCAGAACTGACTCCAGACCCAAGCTGCAACTCAGGCCTGTATTCTGGGAAAAAGGAGGCGCTATCTAAAAGTTTGGGGTGTGACCCAAATTTCTGGAGCTTTTCAAAATTTTCTAGAGACTTCATTAAAATATAAATAGTCGTCTCCCCTCCCCACTCTAAACAATAAACCTTACATCCTTCTCAGAGCTCCCTTTTGTAGTGTAACTTTAGTGCCCTCGTGGCCAAGATGGAGTCTGCTCTGCAGGCAGCTCTGGCCAAGAGAAAGCGTGTGCAGGAACACAGCAAGAAAAATCCCTTCCACCCCAGGGGCACCTCTTCCAAACCCCCCAGAGTGAACACACACCCCCACAGGAAAAGTATAATGGATAGAAGAAAGGGAAATATTTATTTACAGAGGGATGAGAGGAGAAAAACAACAAGGGGAAATATAGGGGGAGCAGTTAGAACAGGGCTGCATCCAAACCAAGGCCCCATGGGCCCAGTGGTAGCACAGTCTGGAAGGGCAGACATGGAGTAATGTGTCTGCACACAGAGTTCAGGAGGCCTGAGCAAAGTTCCAGTCCAGTGGTGAGTCTTGGGTGCTCCTGGTCGTCTTCAGCGCCAGTGAACTTTCCCCCAACAAACCCCTCCGGTTCCCTCTTCTGCCGCTCTCTGTAAAGCCACACAGAGCGACCACCTCCCCACTTAACTAGCTAGCAACCTCCCTCCTTGTTCCCAATGCAGAGTCCTAAGCCCCAGTACTCACAGCCCCATGCAGCTCTGGGCAGCCGTGATACTGGGTCCAGCTCCGGCCTGTCCTTCTCGGGCGATTCCTCCCTGGCACAGTGCTCCTCCTGGCTCCTGTCCTGGGCTGTCCCCGATCGGCCCTGTCCTTCCCAGGCTTCAGGCAAGTTTCCTCAGCTGCTCCCTTTGCGAGGGCCTCCAGGCTTCTCCCTCTCTCTCTCCCCCAGCTCCAGAGAGCACCCTGGAGTTTCCCTCCTTTTTTTTCACTCCCCCCCAGGAAAAAGATGTAAAGGGGCCATGCTCTCTAAACCCCAAAGGCGTTACAGTAGATACAATTTAGACAAATATATTTTCACACATTTTAGCAAGTCTGTTTTAGAAAATGATAAACATGCACAATAAATCCCCAACTATGGGCATTGGAGCCCCTCCTGCTTCGTGGATGGAATCGGTAGACTGGCAACAACCCAAACTCTACTCTATATGGACGTCTTTTCCATCATGTGTGGAGGGGAACCTACTGCTGCAAAAAGGCAGACGTTCCGCCGCTGCGGCATGCTCCTGCCTTCTCTACATTGCCCCTGCATTGGCACTCCATGGAGTTGGAGATCCTTGAGTCACAGGAGTTAGCCGGGCTTTGTCAGATTCTTCATCCATCCAGACCCCAATAGTATAAAACACAGGGGGATCTGAAGCTGTACGGACTTTGATTTTTTCCCTCCACCTTTGCATTTTGGAAAACTCATGTAGAAGGGCATCCACCAGGGCAGCCAGTCAGGCCAACCCAGAGGAACACAGACTGTATAGGTTGGAAGACAAGTGACAGCCACACAGATACTCATTGCCTCCCAGAGGGGGCTGCTGGCTAAGGAAGTGGAACCTCTAGATTCGTCCACGGTGGGAGACTACCAGAATAAATCTTAGCCAAAAGGCTGAAATGATCAAGCGTTGGCTGTGTAGGAATTCTTTATCTATAGTTATAAGAGGACGCCGTGCTAATAAAAGGGACATAATTAGCTCAGCAATACAGTCTAGTTCTCAAGGCCAAAATATGTTATATAATTATTAACCACATGAAACTTACATCCTTTCACGAGGCAAGTTACTTACACAAATCAAGAAAGAGTTACACTAACAATGATACTCTATAAGTAAACGTTCCACTGTTAACCTGCTGGAAGAAGGGGGTGGGGAAAAGAAACTTCTTAATACGTGCAGTATGAATATCTAACCTCAATAGCTTAAGACAGTGGAGGTAATTGCATGTAATACTTATATGGCACAAAACCCCCAACCCAACAGAATGGTTGTTTTAATAGATTTTGTGCCTCAACACTAACACCACCTACCTCCTAAGTTCCCAGTATAGTGCAGGGCTCCCAGGTCTCCTTCACAACATCTCTCCTGGTTTTATATTGGTGCCTCTTTACAGTGTAAACCCCTCCAAATTAGTTACATTGACTTAGCCAAGTCAGTCATTGGCTCTATCGAATCTTTAGCTCTTCCCTCTTTTTAAGTTAAAGGAAGCTCTGCATAATGCATTTATTTATTTATACTGTGTTTCACTCGAGACATGAAATCTTTAAAGGCTTCTACTCCCTGGGCAGTTGCCAGCATTCTAGCTTCGTGAGGGAAAAAGATATGCCACTGCCACGGAAAGCAATCTGTGCTGGATATATGTAAAAGAAAGAACCGTTTCCAAACAGCAGAGAGACATAAACCAGAGGGCAAGGCTGCTTGCCAGTCATTTTGTAAAAAGAAGAAAACCAGCAAAGGTTTAATATTTCTTCCAAGGTCACTTAAGTACCATTAGCAATCCTAAGTTTAACTCAGTCCAAAGGACATAAAACCCAAGTCAAGAACAGTATCTGGTTTCACGATAGAGCCTGGAGAAAAACATTTCTTCTCTCAGTTCCTACAACAAGCTTATCTGGTTTCCTGCAGGACCACAAAAAGGTAGGCCTGCCCTCTGTCATTCACCCACAAGCTGGCTGGATATAAAATGGCCACAGAAAAACCTATTAATTCCAGCTGGCACATGGATTTAGCTATATTTTTTCTGGCTTGTCAGCTGGAGGGAGAAGAGTCAGAAATAAACCAATTGCTAGTTTTCTGGGCATGTTTCAGAATTTTGTTTCCATTTTGGACTATTTCTCAGTCCACTGGCACAATTCTAGAGAAGCTTCCCGAAGTCCATTGCCTGCTTTCCTAAGGTTATTTGAGTTCAGCACAACACTCTGGAATCAGCCGGGTTAGAGACTTTTCTCTTCTTTGTGTGGATCCATGTGTCTATTGGGTCCTGATGCTTCTGTGCAATGTTTAAACTTAGCTGCTGCTCCAATAAATGGTGTAGTTATAAGATTAAGTTCTACTGGAACTACAGATTCTGCTCCCTCTAGTCTCGCTACAAGGGCACATTCTATGAGCACTTTCAAAGAGCACAGCTCTCCCAAATATGGGCTTTCCTAGTACAGGGTGCCATTCACTGAAAAAGAAAAGGAAGCCTTTGTGAAGAGTATGTGTCCTCCAGGTCAGAGTCCTCCAGACAAGACAGAGGAATAAATTATGCCTTATTGAAACTACGTATGAGCTCAACATTTCTCTGCCATCTTTAAAGCTGTGATAACTTTTCCAGAACAGATCCTGACAAGACATTTTTGTTTCCCTTTTAACTTTCCACTGCATTAGGTTTTTGAAAGGGAAATAGACATATATTCATAGATTATAATTGTGATAATAATATAATTATTGTCATTATAATTGTGATAATTTAGTGTGACCTCCTGTATAACAGGTATAGGATTTTCTGAATTAATTCCTTTTTGAGCATATTTTTTATAAAAATAACCAATTTTAAAATCACCAGTGATGGAGAATCCAGCACAACCTTTGGTCAGTTGTTTAAACAGACAATTACTCTAGCTGTTAAAAATTTGCCCCCTCTCCCCCCAAAAAGTCCCACAAATGTTTGAGTTTTCACCCCTTTTAGGTTGGTTTTCTACAAAAATTCAAATGTTCAACTTTGTTGGCACAATTGGTTATGGCGGGTGAATAACCAAGCTTTGTGTTCTCACCAGAAGCAGCTGCATGCTCATCCAAATAAATTGAAACATTGACTTCTGACCAATCACAATTAACAGCCCGTTCATGATCAACTGGACATTTTAAAAAAAAAAACATAAAATTAAAGAATGCATCAAATAAGTTGGCTAGAAAGAGCCTGGAACTGTGAGCAAAAACTGTCTCCCACTTTTTGATTCCTACGTGTTCAGAAAATAGAACTTCAGAAAATACACAGGATTGCATCAAAGAAATACCTGACTCTTTCATCAATTTCTCCCAGCAGAAAAATGGCCAACTGCTCAAGTCCAATGGGGATAATACTTAGACCAGATTACTACAGTGTAGTTTTTATCTACGACTAACTTTGAAACCCTGAGTGTAGACCATAGCAGAAGTGACTTGCCAAAAGTTTGCAACTGTGGGAGCTAGTGACGCCTGTGCTCCATGCGTTGCACTGGTTAGTCTGTAATTCTGGTTAGTCTGATGCTATCTGAAGAATGAGAGGCAAAAGCTTCTGTCAAGAGTCTGTAATAGAGTTAATTTGCAGCATCCTTCTGTATGAAACAGAAGCCTGGAGATTGAGGTGGCTGGAAAGCCTGAAGGGCTGCATTAAGGGCCTAGTCTGCCCTGGAAACACAGATTTAGCTCCCAGCTACTAAAGGTGCTCAGATACCATGGTGATGGGCAGTGTCAGAACCTACGTAGAACAGAATGATTGGCAGTTGGCTGTGGGAGTTTGTTTTGGGATGCTGCAGAGTGATTTCCCCCCTTAAACCTACTTTGCAATAGTTCTACAATTTGAGGCCTTTTCTGTTAGTTACTGATTTTAAATGCAATTTACTTAATAATTCTATAACTGTACATACGTAAACCTATGTTACAAATTAAACGGGCAAACAGCACTCCCCCGCATTTTTTAAAATTACACAACACAGACCAGCCTTAATATTCTGTTCTTTTGGCATGAAACAAAGAGCAAACCTTCCCTCCCTTTGAAGGTTAAAAATGGGGAAGAACTATCTGGAGCTGCTTCTGTCTGCCAAGGGGTGAAACATCCATTAGTAGAAGCTATTATAAAGCCTTAGATAAATACACTTCATTAAGTGCCCAGCATGCTATATAAATAATCAGCAAGAGAAACAATATGCAGTTTGCACACAGCAACTTGGACCTTAGTCTGATGTGCTAGAACTCTGCAATTTACCTTGCTTGTTAAATCTCACCTATCTTTGTATCTATGGGAATCCGTATTCTGAACCTTGAGTAGCAGAATGTTTATCTGGATTTCCACCTGTGACGGGTTGGATCACAGAAACCCCCTTGGGGACTGCCACCTGATGTGCCAAGACTACTTCTGCTCCTGCTTTCCTGCCCTGGCAGCTTAGGACTCCAGCGCCCTGTCTTGTTGAGCCAGACGTGCCAGTCTACTCCAACACAGACCCAGGGTCTGAACCATGTGCCCCAAAGCTGCAGACTTAACTGAAAGCAACTTACAGAAGTGTTCCTGTCTTTAGCACTCAGATGCCCAACTCCCAATGGGGTCTAAACCCCAAATAAATCCGTTACACCCTGTATAAAGCTTATACAGGGTAAACTCATAAATTGTTCGCCCTCTATAACACTGATAAAAAGATATGCACAGCTGTTTGCCCCCCCCCCAGGCATTAATGCATACTCTGGGTTAATTAATAAGTAAAAAGTGATTTTATTAAGTACAGAAAGTAGGATTTAAGTGGTTCCAAGTAGTAACAGTCAGAGCAAAGTGAATTACCAAGTAAAATAAAATAGAACACGCAAGTCTATGTCTAAGAAAACTGAATACAGATATAACCTCACCAGTTCCAGTAAGCTTCCATTTACAGACTAGTCTCCTTCTAGTCTGGGTCCAGCAATCACTCACACCCCTTGTAGTTACTGTCCTTTGTTCCAGTTTCTTTCAGGTATCCTTGCAGGTGCAGAGGCTATCCTTTTAGCCAGCTGAAGACAAAATGGAGGGATCTCCCAGGGGTTTAAATAGACTTTCTCTTGTGGGTGGAGACCCCCTCCTCTCTCCTATGCAAAGTCCAGCTCCAAGATGGAGTTTTGGAGTCACATGGACAAGCCACATGTCCATGCATGACTCAGTTTTTACCAGCTAAGCCACATTCCTGGGAAGGCTCAGATGTGGATTGTCATCTTCAAGTATCAGAGGGGTAGCCGTGTTAGTCTGAATCTGTAAAAAGCAACAGAGGGTCCTGTGGCACCTTTAAGACTAACAGAAGTATTGGGAGCATAA